TTGTATAAACGAAACTTCACCGTTGTCGCTGTTGCAGGAAAGATCACCGACCCTGCAGACCCATCCACTTTAGTTGAAGCGTCAGTATATAGATGAGTATGCTCACTGTACTTCTCATATAACAAGAGAAGAGAAAGCTGCTTTAGCGCTGGAGACGAGAGCCGGGCTTTTGAACCTATGGCTGGAACCGTGAGTTCAACATGTGCATAAGTTATACTCCAGGGGGGAGTTGAAATTCTGAATGGAGTTGTATATCCCCTAGGAATGCGTGTGCTATATGACAAGACTGTCTGGCAAATTGAGGCACGAGGTTGGTCTTCGGGCAGTGAAGCTAGATGATGTGCAGGGGCACGAGTAAGATGCCTCACGTGTGCTCTGAGCACTTCCATTGTGATATGCGTCTTGAGCGTGTAGTCATTAGCGATCTCAATTGTCTCAGCTGTTGATGAACATCGCGGTAGCCCCAGACAAACTCGCAGAGCCATACCCTGGATGCTTTCGAGAGTCCGAATGCTGGCTCTACAGGTCAACACAGGCTAACTGTAGCGCAAATAGCCAAGAAAAAGCGTCTTGTACAATTGCATCATTGCATGTACTGAAGTCCCCCAGCTTTTTCCTCCAATATACTTGAATAAGTTATCAATTTCTGTCAGCCTCTTCTTCAAGTGGGCCACATGTGGGCCCCGCCAGAGGTCTCTTTCAATGAATACGCCTAGAAATCTGTGCGTCCTGACTTATGGTATGACTTGGCCATCGATTGATATAGCGTATGATCTCGTTGGCTTTCGACTAAAAGCAATCAATGCGCATTTCGCTGGCGAGATTTTCAGACCCTGGTCCTTGAGGTACACTGATACCAACGTCACAGCTTTCTGAAGTCTTGCGCGTACCTGAGGTCTTCTCACGCCATATTCCCAGACGCTCATGTCATCAGCGTACATAGATAACTTGACCACACTTGGTAGTCGTTCTACAAGACCAATGAGAACGAGGTTGAACAGGGTTGGACTCAAGACGCCACCTTGCGGAACTCCACGGTGCGTGTGCTCTTGGGAGGTTGGACCATCTGTAGTGTTCACAATATGGTCCGCCCTTGTAAATACCTGCAGGTCCAACAATACAGTTGTCCACCTAGGCCCTCTGACTCAATGACTTCGATGATGGCGTCATGTACAATGTTGTCGTATGCTCCTTTTACGTCAAGGAACATGGCAGCAGATAGTCGTTTACAAGCCTTTTGTTGCTGGACATATGTGACGAGATCTATAACATTGTCTATCGAACATCGGTGACAGCGAAAACCAGCCATGGCGTTCAGATATATCTCATAGTATTCCAGTGGCAAAATCTTGAACCTAGTTTTGGCGCAGAAACGTATCCATCGAATATAAAAAAACTTCTAACAAAAGCAACTCGTGTAGTACCCATTCCAGATGGGTATTCGGGTGTTTACGCTGAGTATGAAAGGCTTCGGCCAATACGACGCCGATCTGAAAGAATATATCGCAGGTCGGGTAATTTAGAAGATTTCAAGGTTGCACAGAAAGTGCATTTTACAATGCATAACCAACTGTAGAAGCTTTCAACCAAAAGGTGGCAAGATTTGTGTGCCTCACTTTCTCCATTTACCTCGGCGCCTCAACTGTGGAACACGGTACGCGCCCTCCGACAGCCAATAGTCCACTCGAGACCACTACAGGCTCTAGCGCTGTCTCGAGGAGTTAGCGAACGTGTGATTGTCAAAGAATTTTGCGATCTTATACTGAGAAATGGAGAGACCGCCCGAACTAGCGAATATAAATTCTCAGCAGAATCAGCTTCGGCGGTTGTAACAAAGTTCTCTGCGATCAATTCATCAGATCTGGATGACAGCTTCACACCAGAGGAGCTCCAATACGTGCTGCCTTCAGTGAAACGAACAAGTTCAGCAGGAACAGATGGAGTTACATACGCTACTCTGGCTAATTTGTGCAAGAAAGTAAAATTACACCTGTTTGACCTCTCTAATAAAAGTTGGCAAGAAGAAAAAGTTCCGGAAAGTTGGAAGATATCAAAAGTAGTACCGTTGCTAAACCCAGGGAAGAGCCCTATGCAGTTAAACTCGTTAAGGCCGGTTAGTTTGACAACTTGTTTTTCAAAAGTGATGGGAAAAATGATCAATGAAAGACTTTTATGATGGCAAGACATGAAAAACTACTACCAGAAAGTATAGCCGGCTTCAGAAGAGGTAGATGCACAATGAACTGCATTCTGGATTTGGTCACAGTTGTAGAAAACCAACGAACGCAAGGAAACATCACTGTCGCTGTATTCCTTGATGTCCGCGCAGCATACGACACATTGAGTCACGTTCACGTTCGGGAAAACCTGGCGTTACAGGGATTCAAGTGCAAGAAATTTCGTTGGATCGCTGACTTCCTGAATCACCGGAAAATTTTTGTAGTTACGCAGGAGGGCCCAACGTCAGAACATGTCGTCAACCAAGGAGCGCCACAGGGCTGCGTGCTAAGTCCTACTCTCTTTAATGCAGTCATGGCGCAGCTCCCGTAAAATCTTCCACCTAACATCAGATGTTAAGTATATGCTGATGACATAAGTATATGGACGTCTGGTCCATCGTTTTTGGATGTACAACAAACTCTACCAGAAGGATTGAATTATGTAGACCGTTTTCGAAAAAAAGAGGTATGGCACTGAGTCTGGCTAAAACAGCCATACTTCTGTTTACATTAAAAAGACCTGGAAATTTTCAGATTATTCTGTAAAATCAGCCTATTCAAATGGTAAAGCTTATAAATTCTTGGGAGTAATTTTAGACCGGAGACTAACATGGTCGCCTCATGGTAGTTCGCTCACAGGTAGTTTATGTCAATAACATTGCGTCATCTGCTAAGCCAGTTACCATGGGCGTCCCTCAAGGTTCTATCTTAGGCCCTCTTCTATTCCTACTTTTTATTAACGACCTACCTAGTTCCCTTAACCATACTAACTGTCTTCTTTACGCCGATGACACTACTATTTTTACATCCCAGAAAACAACTGCTGAACTTGAAAGTAGCTTAAACTCCGATCTCTGTTATATTTATCAATGATGTGTTAACAATCATCTTTATATGAATCCCTCTAAAACTACATTTGTGGTGTTTTCATCCGCACAGAACACATTTCCCTCAACAGTTTCCGTATCTCTTAACAACCATATTATTTCCGTATCGGATCATGTGAAGTTCTTAGGCGTAATACTAGACAAGCATTTGAAATATAACTATCACGTACTCTCAATATTAAAAAAAGCTTCTTTTGGCATTCATGTTCTCATTAAAGCCCGCCCTTATTTTCAGTCACGCATTATTTTATCATTACACTATGCATATATTCATACCCATCTTTCCTACTGCATTTCATCCAGGGGTAATACATATGCCAGTCACCTGGAGCCACTTCTACATCTGCAGAAACGGGCACTACGTCTGATCGCCTTCGCTCCACTTCGATCGTTTTCTGCGCCACTCTTTATTTATTTTTCCGTGCTTCCAATAATTCTTTTATTCACTCTAAAGTTAGCTGTATTGATGTACCGCCTCATTTATCAAGGTCTATGTGTTTCAGGGCTATCCACACAACATCTTGTCAATACTAATAACACCAGGTTTTCAGCCTGTCACAATTTCCTTCTCCCTAAAGTGCGTAGCAATTATGGAAAACTAACTCTTAAATTTACAGGTGTATCCGTATGGAACAACATACCACTTGAAACCAAGTTATGTCCCACATTCTATTCGTTTCGCAAAATGTTTAAAGAGTACCTAATCACAAAACGTGATTTCTAAACTCTGCCGTCGGGCCTTACTCCTAATTTTAGTATTTCTTTTACTCACTATACCACTTGCTGTTACACAGAACTTTTCTTGCCTTGTTATTATGAAATTTTAACCACTCTTTGTTTAATTCGTACAAAGTGTTTTTCACTGCCTGCTGCATTGTTATCGCACTTGACTTATTCTCTGACGAAGGTCCCCCCGACAGTTTTCTAACTTCGGGACCTCCTCTGTACTGTAGAATTTTATTCATGTAAATGTATGCATTCCTGAAATAAAGTTTGATTTGATTTGATTTGATGTCCAGTCCCTTGAACAAAAAGTGAATCGGGCCATTCGAATCCTCCGGCATCACGGTGGGGCCTAATGGGGTCGCACTTCAGAGTCGTTATTAGCCCTACATGTTGCCTGGATATGCCCCGTCGTAACTTACTCACTGCCTCTGCTGCACGGACTTGCAGCCTCCACCGAAAGGACACTTCACTTGGTATTGGCAAGGAGCTTGAGGGTATGTCTGGGTTTACCATGGTCAACTTCCAGTCTTTTAGTGTATGCGGAGGCTCGAGAGCCACCTTTGGCAGTACTCCGAACTAAAGAAACGTCACGAAATTTATTTAGAATTTTCACGCAACATGAAAGTAATTTTTTACCTGGTGCACTTACACAAAGGACGGCAACGAGACTACAAAATACTATATCATCATTTCAAGCAGTAGTACCAGAGTTTAAACAATGAAAACCTTCGAAATCACCTTGGACGCTGCCACTTCTCAACGTTATCCGTGAAATAAACGGCATAGAGAAGAAAGCAGACATGGCACCTTTGTAGCGGCACAGTTGGTACTTCATCAGGTTCATGTAATGCATAATGAAAAAACGATGATATATACAGACGGATCATGCACTGAAGAAGCGTCAGCCTGTGCGGTCTTTATACCCGAACTACAGAAAAAAAAGATGTACAAATTTTCGCACAAATCTTCATCGACGACAGAAGAATTGGCGACTATCTTTAAAGCAGTTAAGCTTACCTGCGAATATCCTGAGCTACGAAAATGGGTGATATGCACAGATAGCAAACCTGCTCTTCAGCTAATCAGAAATGTGAGATCACCTTAAAAAAATGTTGATATAGCACAATGTACTGCAGAAACTGTGGAATATGCCTCATTGCAGGGTCACAACATCGTATTCCAATATATACCCAGCCACATTGGAATAAAGGGAAATGAAGAGGCTGATAGCCTCGCGAAGGAAGCATTGATGGAAGGACGGGATTGCGCAATACCTATGTCTGGGGCGGATATTCGACATTTTATATCGCAAGGAGCTAACCATTGTTCGATGGAGAAGTGGTTGGAGAGCCCTAAATCAAAGGAAACGGTGCTTTATGAAGTTGATTCACCCAGGAAATTTTCCATAGCCACAGTCCTCCCACGACACTTAAAGACAATAATCCACCGACTCCGATTACAAGTTGCATACACAAACAACTTCCTGCACAAGATACATCAATCCAACTCACCGGAATGCCATTGTGATCATGCAGAAGAAAATGTTTGCCATATACTTTTAGAGTGCGTTAAATACGCGAATTAAAGAGAAAAATTAAAGAACAAATGAGCAAGTTTCGAGAGACGGCCCGTCACAATAAGGAAACTACTTGGACCATGGCCTGAGATGCATCTCCAGAAAAAAGCAATGATCTTCCTGACAGCCTTTTTAATAGAGACTGGACTGGACAAGTGCCTCTGACAGACAGCCAGAGATGGGTACATATAAATTGTGGTCATGTATCTACTGACAGTAGAATAGTAAGGTGTGCGTGTAAATAGTTTATGACTGTGTGAACTGCGCTAAGAAAACTGTGTATTGGCATGATGTTTGAACTGGTTTCAGTGTGCTATTATGTTTTTTTTTCTCATCCGTATTGTTGATTTTTGGGTACCGTTCTGTATTACCATTTTATTTTTCGCTGCAGAACTTATTATATGGAGTAGCCGAGGCAATAGGCATTTCAACCTTTCCACAGCGAAACAGTTAAAACAGAACAGAGCAGATGGGCGCGTAAAGCGGGTATGTGCCACAGGGTATATGAGATGGCTATACTTGGAGTGTTCACTAGATGGACGCACGCGCGGACGTATGGACGGACGAACAGACAGACTAGCAGACGAACGGACGGATAGATTGACAAGTAAAGAGAATATGTGCGACAATTTATGGGAGATTTATGGTAGGTGCGACAATTATGGCCAATTTATGATATGTGCGACAATTTATGGGAGATAGCAGTACTTGGGTGTTCACTAGAGGGACGCGAGGACGGACGTACGGACAGACCAACAGGCAGACTAGCAGACAGACTGATGGACGCGTTAAGTGGGTATGTGCCACAGGGTATGCGAGATGCGAGATGACGGTCCTTGAAGTGTTGACTAGATGGATGCATGAACGTACGGATGGACAGACAGACTAGCAAGTGGATGGATGGATAGATGGACGCGTAAAGCGGGTATGTGCCACAGGGTACGCGAGAAGCGAGATGGCGGTACTAGGAGTTTTCACTAGATGGACGCATGGACGGACGCATGGGCGGACAGACAGACAGAATAGCAGATGGATTGACGGATAGATTGACGCTTAAAGCGGGTATGTGCAACGGGGTATGCGAGAGGCGAGATGGTGGTCGTTGGTATGTTCGCTAGATACACCCACGGATGGACGCATGGGCGGACAGTTGGACAGACAGGCTAGCAGTTGGACGGACAGATAGACGGGCGCGTAAAGCGTGTATGTGCCACAGGGTGTGTGAGGTGGCGGTACCTGGAGTGTTCAGTAGATGAATGCATGGACGGAAGGACAGACAGACTAGCATACGGACGGACGGATAGATGGATGCGTAAAGCGGGTATGTGCCACAGGGTATGCGAGATGCGAATGCCGGTACTTGCAGTGTTCACTAGCGTGACGCAGGGACGTATGCATGGGTGGATGAAATGACATAGTACACGTATGAACGGATAGACGGACGCGTTAAGCGGGTATATGACACAGGGTATGCGATGTGGCGGTACTTGAAGAGTTCACTATATGGCCGCAAGGACGGACGCAAGGACGGAGAAAGAGGCATATACGACGGACGTTCGGATTGACGGATGCGTAAGGCGGGTATGTGCAACAGGTTGTGCGAGATTCAAAATGGCAGTACATGGTGTGTTCACTAGGTGGACACACGGACGGACGCAAGGACAGACGGTCAGACAGACGAGAAGATGGACGGACTGATGGACGAACGCGTAAAGGGATATGTGCCACAGGGTATACGAGTTGGCGGTACTCGGAGTGTTCACTAGATGGACGCATGGACAAAAGCATGAATCGACGGAAGGACAGACTAGCAGAAGGACAGGCGGATACAGAGAGAGAGAGATAACGATGCAAAGAAAGGCAGGGAGGTTAACCAGGCGCACATCTGGTTAGCTACCCTGCACTGGGGAAGGGATTAAGGGGAGAAAAGAGGTTGCAGAGAGATCAGAAGGTACACACAATCACGAGCACACTCGGGGAACACACACAGTCTACAGGCGGTCGCTCAGGTTTGTTGACTTTAAGTAAAGTAGCAGTGCTTTAGTCGCTTTCTGCGCAACTTCGGCAGATGCCCAAGGTCCTAGTATCTTCTGCACACAAAATGGTCCGGGGTCAAGTTGATTCAAAACAATCCGGAGCTGGCATCGCTGTGTGTCGTAGCAAGCGCAGCTGCACAGGACGTGTTCGATGGTCTCTTAAGCTCCGCAGTAGTCGCATGTAGGAGTGTCTGCCATACCAATGCGAAAGGAGTACACCTTTGTAAATGCAACACCCAACCAAAGGCGGCATAACAGTGTCGTATCGGAGCGGGAAAGTTGTGATGGTAACTTTATCTTCAGCGAAGCATCCAGTTCATAAAATTGACACCTTTGGAAGCTGGTAGACGACCAGAACGTGCGTGTGAGATCTCGAGCCAGCAGGTAAAGTTGTCTTGCTGCATCATTCCTTCATAGAGGAATCGGGACTACACTGGTTCCTTCATGGGCTGAGCGGGCTGCATCATCGGCTAATTGATTTCTGGTAATACCAATATGTCCAGGCAGCCATTGATATATATTATCATGCCCTCGTGCTAGAGCTTCATGATGGCAATGTCTTATTTCTTGTACCAATTGTTCATGACTCCTCCTACGCATGGCAGACTGCAAATTCTGAAGTGCTGCCTCCGAATCACAGAATATGACCCATTTTCCTAAACGTTCTTGAACGAGATATTGTAAAGCAGCCCTTATAGCAGCAAGCTCTGATGCCATAGATGTAGTGTTCACTACTTGGCCGCATGGACGGATGCATGGACGGACGGACAGACATACAAGCAGACGGACGGGCGGATAGACGGACGCATAAAGCGGGCATGTGCCAAAGGGTATGAGAGATGGTGGTACTTGTGTGTTCACTAGATGGACGCACGGACGGACACATTGATGCAAAGACAGACAGACTATAAGACGCACGGAGGGATAGACGGATGCGTAAGTGGTATGTGCTACAGGATACTCAAGATGGCAGTACTTGGGGGGTTCACTAGATGGATGCACGGACGGGCGCATGGACGGACGGACGTAGAGACATCGCAGACGGATGGACGGATAGACGGAATCGTGAGGCTGGTATGTGCCACAGGGTATGTGAGATGCGAGATGGCGGTACTTGAAGTGTTCACAAGATCGACGCACGGATGGAGACATGGACGAATGGACAGACTAGCAAAAAGACGGACCGATATATGGACGCTTAAAACGTTTATGTGCCACAATGTATGTGAGGTGGCGGTATTTGGAGTGTTCACAAGATGGACGCATGGACCGATATACAGACAGAGTAGCAGACGGACGGACGAATAGACGGACGCGTAAAGCGCGTATGTGCCACAGGGTATGCGAGATTCGAGATGGCGGTACTTAGAGTGCTCACTAGATGGACGTACGTACGGATGGAAAGACAGACTAGCAAACGGATGGACGGATAGACGGACGAGTAAAGCGGATATGTGCCCCGGGGTATGCGAGATGGCGGTACTTCGAGTGTTCACTGCATGGCCGCACGTACAAACTCATGGACGGACGGACAGACAGGCTAGCAGATGGACGTTGGGATAGACGGACGCGTAAAATGGGCATGTGCCACAGCGTATGCGAGATGGTAGTATTTGGAGTGTTCACTAGATAGACGCACGGACGGACGCATGGGCGTACGGACAGACATACTAGCAGACGGACGGACTGACAGATGGACGCGTAAAGCGGATAAATGCCTCAGGGTATGCGAGAAGCGAGACGGCGGTACTTGGAGGCTTCACTAGATGGATGCACGGACGGACGCAATGACGGACGGAAAGACAGACTAGCAGACGGATGAACGGATAGACAGACGCGTAAAGCGTGTATGTGCCACAGGGTATGCGAGATGGCGGTACTTGGAGTGTTCAGTAGATGGACGCACAGACAGACTAGCAGACGGACGGACGGATTGACGGATGCATAAAGCGGATATGTGCCACAGGTTATTCGAGGTGGCGGTGCTTGAAATGTTCACCAGATGGCGTCACGGACGTACACATAGACGCACGGACAGGCATAGCAGACAGATGTACGGATAGACGGACGCGTAAAGCGGGTATGTGCCACAGGGGATACGAGATGCGAGATGACGGTGCTTAGATTGTTCACTAGATAGACGCACGCACGAAAGTATATGGGTGGATGGAGAGACAGACTTAAAGACGGGCGGACGGTTAGATGGACGCGTAAAGAGGGTATGTGCCACAGGTTATGCGACATTCGAGATTGAAGTAATTGGGGTGTTCACTAGATGGACGCGCGGACGGACGCATAGACAGACGGAGAGACAGACTAGCAGACGGACGTACAGATAGACGAAAAGTTAAAGCTGATATGTGGCACAGAGGATGTGAAATGCGAGTTAGTAGTACTAAGAGTGTTGACTAGTTAGACGCAACGACTAACGCGTGGACGGACGGACAAACAGACTAGCAGACGAACAGATGGATAGACGGACACGTAAAGCGTGTATGTGCCACAAAGTATTAGAGATGCGATATGGCGGGCTTGGAGTATTCATTAGATGGACGCATGGACGAAGGTATGGACGAAAAGACAGACAGTCTAGCAGATGGACAGAATGATAGACGGACGCGTAAAGCGGGTATGTACCATAGGATATGCGAGATGCGAGATGGTGGGGCTTGGAGTGTTCACTGAATGGACGCACGGATGAAAGCATGAATCGACGTACAGACAAACTAGCAGACGGATGGACGGATAGACGGATGCGTGAAGTGGGTATGTGCCTGTGATAAGTGAAGTGCGCGTTTCGTGAAGTGCGCGAGTGCAACCAGTGTTCGGTTTAAAATGTGCGCGAGTGCACCGGCATAGGAAAGAAGACGACGATGACCGATGGTGTGGACGCGCGCTTTCGCGATGTATTGGGTGAGGAAGACGATGGGCAGACGAGGCGCGTGAAGTTCGGACCAATGAGAGGCCCCCACGCTGGTTTGGAAGAAGCCCGAACGAAGAACGGGGCAGACGTGGCCGGGACGCGACGGAGGCAAGCAGGCTACCAGGGCGCGGGGGTGGCGGCCGAGTTCCTGAGGCAAGGCTGCTGCGGGCTCCCACCTGGTCGGGCGCCCGAGCATCATCTATTGT